CCTGTAGTCCCAGCTACTCGGAAGGCTGAGGCAGGGGAATGGCGTGAACCCAGGAGGCGGAGGTTGCAGTGAGCTGAGATCACCCACTGTCCTCCAGCCCGGGAGACTGTGCGAGACTCCATCTCAAAAAGAAAAAAAAAAATTCCACATGTCTTTAAAACTACTGTCACATTTCTCAAACACTCAGATGCCTTCAGTCCTATTTCCTTTCCTCATAAATGTAGTTCACATTGCTCCCTGTACCCCAGTGTCAAAATCTAGTTCTCAGGTAGCTCTAGGAAACTCAGATGGGTGGCAAACATGTTCATGTTACAGTCTGTATGTAATGGCGTCCCTTACTCCTTGAAAGGTTTCAAAGAGAGAGGGGAAATGACATAATTCCAGAGGTCAGGGAAGTGTATATCCGTGTGTATCCCATTTGTGTCCCTAGTGTCTAACATATAATCAGTACTGAAAAAAATTGGAATATTATTGAAAATATGGAATATATGTGTACATGTATAGATACAGTTGTTTTTATCAACTTAAAATTCTTTTTAATTTTTAAATTTTTTTGTAGAGGTAGGGTTTTGCTATGTTGCCCAGACTGGTGTTGAATTTCTGGCTTCAAGCAATCCTGCCTCTGCTACCCAGAGTGCTGGGATTACAGGCATGAGCCACTGCACCCAGCCACCATCTAATTTTTTTTTTTTTTTTTTTTTTTTTTTATGGAGTCTCGCTCTGTCGCCCAGGTTGGAGTGCAGTGGCATGATCTCAGCTCACTGCAACCTCTGCCTCCCAGGTTCAAGTGATTCTCCTGTCTCAGCCTCCTGAGTAGCTGGGATCACAAGCACATGCCGCCGCGCCTGGCTGAATCAATATGTTTAGTAGAGATGGGGTTTCACCATGTTGGCCAGGCTGATCTCGAACTCCTGACCTCAAGTGGTCTGCCTACCTTGGCCTCCCAAAGTGCTGGAATTACAGGCAGGAGCGCCACACCTAGCCTATTTTTTTAAGTCGAATTTAACCCTTGTAATGATAGATGCTTGTCTTATTCCTAGGGAAATAATTGAAGTAATTGAGATGCTGTCACCTAAAATAATCAAAAGGCTCCTGATTCAGTTAAAAGAATTCATTTAAGTACAAAGTATAAGCAGAGCTACACCAAAGAATGGTGATTAGTGCTCCCAGGGTGGGGTAAAATGAGGATTGTTTATATAGGCAAAATGAAGGTGCCAAACAGAATTACAACATTTTCTGTACTAAGGCTCATTTAAAGTTACAAATTTGATTGGCTACTATTGATTACACTTGAAGGGATTTGTTTAACTTCCTTTTGTAAAGAAGTAACAGTCATAAGGATCTCTTATCTCCCAGTCGCTTAGTCTAGGTTTGAATAAAGAATAGGGAGTCTGGTTAATGTGTACATCTAGACACAAAAGTCAGAAAGAATGAAAGTAGTAACATCACACGAGCCCGCTGTCAGCGCCTAACTTTTCCCTTTGGCAAGATAAATTTGGAAGGTTCTGAAATTGTGTTTTCTTTTTACAGTGCCTATGTGTAAGTGTTTTTACAGGTCAGTTCATTCTGTTAAATATACGTGTGTATACATGCATACTATGTATGTGCGTTTATGTGTGTCTGTGTGTTTTTCTTTTTAACAGACGAAGCTTCACAAAAGATGTCTAAGGTAAGATCATGCTTCATGTATCTACAGCATAAGGAGAAATTGCTTTATGTTTTCAGACTGTTGGATTTATACGATTCATTATTTTTAATACAACTGATGTATTTGATTCATTAAGACAAAGAGTTCTAATTTAGTTGTCTTTTTTTAATTATTATAATTTCTTTTTTTTTTTTTTTTTTTTGAGACGGAGTCTCGCTCTGTCACCCAGGCTGGAGTGCAGTGGCGCGATCTCGGCTCACTGCAAGCTTCTCCTCCCGGGTTTACACCGTTCTCCTGCCTCAGCCTCCCGAGTAGCTGGGACTACAGGCGCCACCTCGCCTGGCTAGTTTTTTGTGTTTTTTTTTTTTTAGTACAGACAGGGTTTCAGCGTGTTAGCCAGGATGGTCTCGATCTCCTGACCTCGTGATCTGCCCATCTCGGCCTCCCAAAGTGCTGGGATTACAGGCTTGAGCCACCGCGCCCGGCCTCATTATTATTATTTTTTAAGACGGGAGTCTTGCTCTGTCACCAGGCTGGAGTGCAGTGGCATAATGTCAGCTCACTGCAACTTCAACCTCCTACGTTCGAGTGATTCCCCTGGCTCAGCCTCCAGCCTCTGGAGTAGCTGGGACTGCAGACACTTGCCACCACGCTGGCTAATTTTTTGTATTTTAGTAGATATGGGGTTTCACTATGTTGACCAGGATGGTCTTGATCTCTTGACCTCGTGATCCACCTGCCCTGGCCTCCCAAAGTGTTGGGATTATAAGCGTGAGCCACCGCGCTCGGCCTGGTTGTCATCTTGAAAGCTTGGAGCTTTCTCTTTTTTTTCAGGCTTTTACTTTTTTTTTTTTTTTTTTACACACATCAGTAACAGTCCTTTTAGCCCCCTTAGTACATTCCCAGCAGACCAAATAATTTAGAATTCTAATAATTTATTATGATGAAATCGATGGGGCTCTTAGACTTGATAAATTGGTTTAAATCAGCCCTTGCAAGTTAGTTCAGAGAGAAATTAGTTCTAAAGAACATGCTGAGAAAAGCAGAACTTGTGGTTAACGTTGCAAGATTATTATTTCTCTGGTTTTTTATCTTTGAGTCCTATGGGTGTTCATTACTATCCAATGCAAAATCATCATACCAGTTTTTGCATTTTATACCAGTGTTAGCGTGGAACATGGATAAGCAAAAAAAAAAAAAAAAGTCATTTTTTCACCACTCAGAAATAACCACTGTTAATATGCTACATATATTCTTTTTCATCCGTGTGTGCATTTGACTATACATTTGCAAAATGTAGTCCTAAAGGAAATACTATTTTATATCTTGCCTTTTTCAATTAATTAATTGATTTTTAAAATTTCTTCTCATTTTCAGTGTGCCACTGTCTAGATTCTGGTTTTACTTCTGCTATTCTTGTCTTCTCACATCTCTGTCCTCTCTCTCATCAGATATTCTACCAAGAAATATTGATGCCTCAGTGTAGTCAGCTATGATCTTCTCATTCTGTCTGTTCTTTCTTGGTCTTTGACGCTAGATACTCAACATTCCCACCTCTAATTTGCCTGCCTCACCCTCAGTGAAACTATTCTATAGAGCTAGAATCACAGCAAGAGAGATGCCTTTTTCGTGGATACTTTTCAGAAATGCATCACAAACCTAATACCTGGGGGAAGCTATTCTTTAGCCAAGTTTGTTGAATGAAACCATTCATTCAAAGTACTGTCAGCTGTAGCAGTACTTTGTAAGCTTAACTGATTTTCCTGGAACTCCATAGCCTCTCAAGTCAAAATTTGAAATTGCGTTAAGATGTATTAAGCATGTGTCTTCTATGTATTGTTAAATTCCTAAAAAATACTGATTAACACAGTGTTAATTTTCAGTCAGCATATAACTAAGGAGTTACACTAGATTAGTTTTTCTTTTTTTAATGATCCTGATTGAATACTGCTGGTTTTCTGATAGAAGTGTGACTTTCTGAAAGTGTTTGTTTATACTTTTAAAACAATTTGTGAAGACTACTGATAACCTATGTTTCACGTCTGATTATATCTTAAAAGCAACTACTAAGGTGTTTGTTTGTTTGTTTTTAATCTTGTTTAGCAACAGCCAACTCAGTTTATAAATCCAGAAACTCCTGGCTATGTTGGATTTGCAAATCTCCCCAATCAAGTTCACCGAAAATCAGTGAAAAAAGGTTTTGAGTTCACACTGATGGTGGTCGGTAAGAAATTAATTTATAGTCTCCAACTTACTAAATAAGTATCTCCCCCTTCCAATCTCTGGAGTACAATAACATGATCTCTAAAGTAAGAGGCAGAGTCAAATAACATGGGAATTTGAACAAGTATATGTATATTCATTCGAAAATTTTCCTGAGAAGCAAAATTATTTTTCTGTCCCTGCCTTATTTACATGTAGTGAGAGTTTACTCGTTGTGTCAGCTCAGCTCGAGAGTGGCCTCCAGTGATTCCTGTCTCCTGGTATTCACAACTTTTTCTTAACCCTTCCTGCATTGAGTAGGGTTTTACCTGTGTAGCCAGCGGGACATTGTGGAAATGAAAGTGTGTGGTTTTCTAAGACTAGGTCATGAAAGACATTGTGGCCCCCACCTTGCCTTTTCCCAAATTACTCACTCTGGAGGAAGCCGGCTGCCACGTCTAGAGAACACTCAAGCAGCTTACAGGGAAGCCCACCAAGTAAGGAACCAAGGCCTACCAATGGCTATGTAAGTGACCCATTTCAGAAATATCCTCCAGGCCAGGCATGGTGGCTCACACCTGTAATCTTAGCACTTTGGGAGGTCAAGGCAGGCAGAGGATTACACTCAGGAGTTGAAGACCAGGCTGGGCAACATGGTGAAACCCTGTCTCTACAGCAAATACGAAAACTAGCCAGACATGGTGGCATGTACCTGTAATTCCTCTCACCTGAGCCCAGGAGGTTGAGGCTGCCGTAAGCTGAGATCATGCCACTGCACTCAAGCCTCCAGCCTGGGTGACAGAATGAAACCCTGTCTCAAAAAAAAAAAAAAAATCCAGGCATTTACAGTGTAACATTCACAATATCTAGTAGAAAATTGTGTGGCATCAAAGAAGCAAAACCTGAACATAATCAGGAGAAAAATCAGGCAATAGAAACAGATCCAGAAATGACAGAGACAGTAGAATGGCAAAGAAGAACTCTATTACTTAAAGGAAAACATGAATATAATAAGATAAATGAAAGATACAACAGAGAACCAAGTGGAACTTCGAAAGATTAAAATACAACCGAAATAAGAAATTTTCATCATAAGCCTGACAGCACATTATACACTGCAGAAGTGAAAGGACAGTAGAAGCACAGTAAGGGAAAAGCTAGAAAAAAAAAAGAAATTGAACGTGTCCTCAATGTCCTTTGGTACCCTGTAAACAGTCTAATATGTGGATTATATTCACAGAGAAGACAGGAAAACAAAAATCATGAAAAAATAATGCCTGGGAATTGTCCAATTTCAGCAAAGTTATAAATGCACAGATCCAGGAAGCTTGACAAATAGCAGGCAAAATAAATATAAAGAAAACTATACCAGGATGCATCATAACAAGCTACTGATGAAACAACTGATGAAACAACAAGCAGAAGATGTAATAGAGAAAAGCACACCAAAGCACGTAATAAGCAAATAGACCATAGATAAACAGAGGTCTTTAAAAGTAGCCGGAACAAGCCTGTTGTGGTGGCTCACGCCTGTAATCCCAGCACTCTGGGAGGCCAAGGTGGGTGGATCACTGCAGCCCTGGAGTTCAAGAGCAGTTCAAGAGCAACATGGTGAAACCCTGTCTTTACAAAAGATAGGGAAATTAGCCGGGCTTGCTGGGGGGTGCCTGTAATCACAGCTACCTGAGAGGCTCAGGTAGGAGGATCACCTCGGCCTGAGACGTCAAGCCTGTGGTGAACTGTGATCGTGCCACTGCACTCCAGCCTGGGTGACAGAGTAAGACCCTGTCTCGAGGAAAGAAAAAAAAAAAATGTAGCCAGAACAAAGAAATTCATTACATACAGGGGACTGAAGGTAAGAGGAGTGACCACTGAATTGTCATTAGGAATAATGTAACTGGCCGGGTGTGATGGCTCACGCCTGTAATCCCAGCACTCTGGGAGGCCAAAGTGGGAGGATCACTTGAGGTCAGGAGTTCGAGACCAACCTGGCCAACACGGTGAAACCCCAGCTCTGCTAAAAATGGAAAAATCTGGGCATGGTGGTGCATGCCTGTGACCCAGCTACTTGGGAGGCTGAGGCAGGAGAATCACTTGAACCCGGGAGGCAGAGGTTGCAGTGAGCTGAGATCGCACCACAACACTTTAGCCTAGGGACAGAGCAAGACTCCATCTCAAAAACTAAGTAGAAATTGTCTGGATGCGGTGGCTCACACCTGTAATCCCAGTACCTTGGGAGGCTGAGATGGGCAGATCACCTGAAGTTTAGAGTTGGAGACCAGGCTGACGAACATGGAGAAATCCCACCTTTACTAAAAAAAATACTAACTTAGCTGGACGTGTTGGCACATGCCTATAATCTCCGCTACTCGGGAGGCTGAGGCAGGAGAATGCTTGAACCTGGGAGGTGGAAGTTGCAATGAGTTGAGATTCCATCATTGCACTGCAGGCTGGGCAACAGGAGCGAAACTCTATCTCAAAACACGATGGATCAAGCCTGTAATCCCAGCACTTTGGGAGGCTAGGCGAATCACCTGAGGTGGGAAGTTTGAGACCAGCCTGACCAACATGGAGAAACCCCGTCTCTAGTAAAAATACAAAATTAGCCAGGCGTGGTGGCGCAGGCCTGTAATCCTGGCTACTTGGGAGGCTGAGGCAGGAGAATCACTAGAACCTGGGAGGTGGAGGTTGTGGTGAGCCAAGATTGACCATTGCCCTACAATCTGGTCAGCAAGAGTGCAACTCCATCTCACCAAAAAAAAAAAGAAAACTGAAATTAAAAAATGAGAAAAGGTGTATGTGGCAGGCAGTAGAAGTAATATAAATCTTTTTTTTTTTTTTTTGTAGATGGAGTCTCGTTCTGCCGCCCAGGCTGGAGTGCAGTGGCACGATCGCGGCTCACTGCAAGCTCCACCTCCTCCCGGATTCACACCATTCTCCCACCTCAGCCTCCCAAGTAGCTGGGATTACGGGCGCCCGCCACCACGCCCAGCTAATTTTGTTTTTGTATTTTTAGTACAGATGGGGTTTCACCGTGTTAGCCAGGATGGTCTCAATCTCCTGCCTTCGTGATCTGCCCGCCTCGGCCTCCCAAAGTGCTGGGATTAATATAAATCTTATACAAACTTTTTCACAAAATAGATGAGTAGGAAACACCTACCAGCCTATTTTATTAAGCCAGCATTATCCTGTTATAAATGACAAGAAAACTACAGACTAATACATGTTAGAAATGCTTGTTTCGGCCGGGCGCAGTGGCTCACGCCTGTAATCCCAGCACTTTGGGAGGCCGAGGCGGGCGGATCACAAGGTCAGGAGATCGAGACCATCCTGGCTAACATGGTGAAACCTTGTCTCTACTAAAAATACAAAAAATTAGCCGGGCATGGTGGCGGGCGCCTGTAGTCCCAGCTACTCGGGAGGCTGAGGCAGGAGAATGGCGTGAATGTGGGAGGCAGAGCTTGCAGTGAGCCGAGCTGGTGCCACTGCACTCCAGCCTGAGCGACAGAGCAAGACTCCGTCTTAAAAAAAAAAAAAAAAAAATGCTTGTTCCTCGGTGCCGTAAAGAAATAGCACTTGAACATAAATTCAGTTTCCTCAGCAAGGCCATTTTTACTTTGTACAGAATGGGTGCACTCGCCATCAGTTTTGTCACAAGAGTACACCGAACAAAGAGGATCATTTATAACCTGATGCATCTACCTTACTGCTGTTTCCATTGGCTGGAATGGGACCTCACCTTCCTTATTTGTCCTGATTGACTAGCAACTTAGAACTTTTTAAAAGAGGCAAAGGCAGAGAGGAGAACAAAGGAAGGAGGAATGTTGAGAAAGGTAAAATCACCTTCAAATAAGGAAGAGCAGCAGGCTATGCCCTAATGCTTACTTGGACCACCATAAGCCTGCCAGGGCAAATTCAGGCTAAATTGTGGGCGCTGAGAACATAAAGTACGTTGATTTCCTCATCACGGCTAGCAGATTATTTAAGAATGTTAGCACATGTCTTTGAAAAAAATTTTTGCTTCTGAGAGAAGTTACTATTTATTCCTAATTAGACGAGGAGGAAAGTCTTTGAAGAAGAACTTCTACTTTACTTTTGACGTATACGTGAACTAGACATGGACATCTTAATTAAATCTTACCAAGTCCAGCAATATATCTAAATAAAAAGACAGTGCACTTAGTTCTGCTGTGATGCAACCTGTGTGTTTCTAAAATAATCCCCATACCATACCATCCAACATGATGAATAAACACCACAGAGCTTATCCGAGCTTATGGAGAAGATAGGTACACAATACTCAGAACCTTCATCAGTGACACAATGGGAGAAAAGATAGGAACACAAGAGTTATACCAGTCCACATGTAAATGGCTGAAAAATAATCACTACACCATATAAGCCCTGAGGTTTGGTTTGTGCAAGTGGACATCAGGAGGGTTGCAACTTGTGCGCTTTTGTGTAGCTGTGGAAGGAGGATTTTCTAAAGTTGGAAAGTCATAACACTAGGTGTAAATTGGGTGTGGCTCATAACAGGCGGTAAAGAAAGATAGCTGATAGATATTTAGGGGTGTGTGTTGGGAATATCTCCAAGTGGTTTGATTCTGTTGGATGCAGAATTAAACACAGTTTTCTGTGTTCACCTAGTTTTTCACCAATGAGATCGTATATAAGCAAATAGGAGATTTGTATTACGCTGCTATTGTTCCCTAATATGTCAGTCCCATTGGAACAAATTCTCATTTTCAGATTAGAACGGACTAAACAAATGGAGTTTATCTCAGGAATACATGGTGTAACATTCAAAGTCAGTGTCATTCACTGTAGTTATCAAAGAGGAAGATGATGTTAGCTGAAAAATCAATTGTAAAAATCCAGGACCCACTAAAGATAAGATAGTAGGCTGGGTGTGGTGGCTCATACCTGTAATCCCAGCACTTTGGGAGTCCAAGGCTGGTGGATCACCTGAGGTCAGGAGTTTAAGACCAGCCCCGCCAACATGGTAAAACTTTGTCTCTTTAG